AAAAGGCAGGCTCATTGAGAGCAGCCAAAAAGGGGTAGAAAAAGACTAAAAGGACAGCAAGACAGCAGACACAGGGGTTTTAAAAGCCCTGCACCGTCAGTGTGGGGAGGATCAGAGAGTGAGCCTCCGCCCTCCCTGTGCTGGAGCCCCGGTGCTGGCTGAGCTCCGGAGCGATGCTTCTCCGTCCAGCTGGGATGAAAGGCCTTTCCCTCCTCTCTATCTTAGACTGATCGCTTTGTAAAATAAAACAAAAAACGAAGTATTGATTAAAAAGAAGAAAAAAAGAAAAACCAGATGGCCATGCTGGGGTGCCAGGCAATGCCCAAAAACTCTTGAAGTTTCTAAAAGCTTGCCTTCAATTTCTGAAGCTGTCTCAGGGCGGATGGAGACAAACACTTTGTGACTGGCCCTGATCCAGGGACCTCACTTTGAGAAGCTCCTTTCCCACAGTCCCTGGGAATGCGCTTAATCAGATTCGTAATACTCTATGTAATGTTCACCACATGTTGTTCAGCAACCAAAAAAAAAAAGTAGGCTTTCAAATGCATATAAATGTAGGAAACAAAGACCAGAAAGAAAGGCCCTGAAGATTATATTTCAGAATGACGATTTTACATCTTGTTTTCCTTCTACTTTTTTCAAGCTTTTTGAATAAAAACACCATTTTTTTATATTAAAAAAAATCATTAAAGTGATTTTTAAAAGAACATTCTATCTATGAAGGCAAAGGAATAAGATGCTTTATCATAACAAGACAGTGATTTTATATAATTATTTATGATGTTATAATAAGAAGTATATACATTATTATATAAACAGGATAATACGGTTCAATGAAAGTCATATACCACATGCAGCCACATGATGGAATTTTATACAGCCAAGAAATATGACGTTTACAAAGAATACTCTGTGATTTAAGGAAATGCTTTTGCAATTTGGTTGAACATCAAACTGCCAATACTCAACCCTTTTTGACCTACAAAAATGGCAATTTCATATGGTTTAACCTAATACAATGTTAAATGGAACATAAAGATTCAATGAATAGACTCTGAGATCAACTATGTAAAAAATGTGCATGCTTGGAAAAGAAGATTGGAAAAAAATACACAAAAACCGTGGCATGGTGATTTTTTTTCTTCTTGGTCATTTTCCAAATTTCTAACCATGAGAATGTATTACTTTTGTAAGCGGGGAAGAAAATGCCATTCAGTTCTTTAACTCAGGGAAATTGCTAGCATTTTTTGAGAGTTTTATCCTAATTTTTATACCATCAATAAGAATTCCATTATAGTAAATAGCCTCTTTCAAATGTTACGGACAAAACTGGTTATGAACCCTGTGTGCATGTGTGTAGAGGGAAGGGGGATAAATGGTCAATTTAAATTCATCAGTATTAACTGCTTAGATTATTATTAAATTTGCTCAACAGCCCTACACATGAACTGGGCAGGAAGCACCATCTCTATGTAGGCGAAAGAGGCTATAATCATGAGGGACCTGAAGATCGGGGTGGCCCACTTGTCTGAATCCACCATCCGTCGTCCTGTGACCTTGGGCAAGTCACTTCCATTTTTGTTTTGGCCTCAGTTCCTCCATCTTTAAAATGAGGGATTTTGAAAGAGTGATCTCTAAGCTCCTGCCAACTCTGATATTCCATGGTCCTGCTCCATGATGGCCAGAACTGGCTACAAAAGTTGTGGGGCTCAGTGCAAAATGAACATGCTGGTTCTCTTACGAAAACCTTCAGAATTTCAGGACCGTGAGAACACAGCATTTAATCAAGTGCAGGTTCCTACAGAGCACAGGACCCCGTGGGACTGCCCAGCACACACGCCCATCTAGCCCTG